GTCTGTATCGTGATTTCAACAGACAGACAGTCGGACTTTGATTGATTGTTCAACATATTTTTTTTAATTTCCAGCTTTCTATTCACATTACGAGAAATATCAGACCCAATATAAATCCTATATGAAATATTAAAGCTTTAAGAAATCATGAATCTCTATTTAAAGTGAGGTAATTTAATTTCTATGACAATATTTTTTACAGCTAATGCCACTCAATGTAAAGTTCATGCCCTTTTAAATTCTTACCTGCTTCGTTGTCATTAAGTCATTATTCTTTATTAAATATAGCTAAAATGGTCGTCTATGGACACAAATTGGTTTTGAAAATACTTAATGATTTGATGAAAAATCTACAATCCTTATGAACCTTCGCAATTGCCAAGCAGTAAAGCTCTTCACTCCATCTTTCATGATTATTAATTACTGAGAACCCAGCTACTGGACTTACAAAAATAAAAACATTTTCACGTTTCCTTGTAAAACTCTTCCGCTTAGTCGAGAAATATTTATTTTTTCAACTATTACTTCCCCCTACCTAGTATCCAAGTAGGAAAACATCACTGAAAATCCGGATACTAGGAACAAAAAATTTTAATTAATACTTCTGCACATTGTGAATGGTCAGAACGGAGATAGGACTCATCAGAGAGGAAGTAACAAAACGAAAATGCACGAAAGGAAAAACGGAAAAAAATGTGTAAAACAAAACTGTAACAAAAATTATATTAAAAAATAAACTTTTGCCATAAATTTTGTTTGCTTAGGTAGTCAAACAAATAATGTTGTTGAAGGATATTAATGGAGAAAAAAGTGGATGGATGGAGCGAAAAGAAACAACAGCCACAACCAGTGGAAGCACTGAATTTGTATTATGGTTAAAGTTTACATGTTTAATGTTGGAAATACAGGGTGGTTGATTTTGGCAAGAGAGGCCAGTTTGGGAAAAAAATTATTATGAATGCATTATTCTCATAAAAAAATATCAGATGTAATGCATATCATCGACCATTATGGGTAATAAAGCATAAATTCGGGAATGGGAAATTAAGTGATAAAAATTATGGAATTTATTTGCACACAAAATGAAAGACTACTATGTTCTTATATTCACACCAATTCGTTGACCCTTTTACCCAAAAATAGTATTTACAGATTAACCTCTGTCTTCTCCTATTTATTAAACGACTCTTTTTGAGGATGGAAATAAAACAGAGTATGGCTTATGGTGCAAAACGTGAAACCTCTAATGGTTATGTCTAGAAAATCTGAAAAAAAGAAGAGAAAAAAATCAAAATATGAAAAAACTAAGTATTTTTACTCTTTCCATTCTTCCTTATTCTATGAATATTTCAATACTTTCAATGGAGGAAATGCAAGTATTTACACAGCTTCGACTGAATTTCTTGAAAAAAGAAGTATGAAAAAATTTAGCTCAATGTCCCAAAAGTTCAACAAAGTATATCATTGTATTAATTTAAAAAATTAGTTGAAAACTTTTATTGCCCAAGCAATATTTGAAGGCCTTCTGTTGTCCACAGAAGACCTTGCGGTCTTAAGGTCTCCACCTAATGTCTACAGGAGACCTTGAGGTCATCTATTGTCTATAGAAGACCTTGAGGTCATCTATTGTCTATAGAAGACCTTGAGGTCATCTATTGTCTATAGAAGACCTTGAGGTCATCTATTGTCTATAGAAGACCTTGAGGTCATCTATTGTCTTTAGAAGACCTTGAGGTCTTCTATGGTCTTTAAAAGACCTTGAGGTCATCTATTGTCTATAAAAGACCTTGAGGTCATCTATTGTCTATAGAAGACCTTGAGGTCATCTATTGTCTATAGAAGACCTTGAGGTCATCTATTGTCTATAGAAGACCTTGAGGTCATCTATTGTCTATAGAAGACCTTGAGGTCATCTATTGTCTATAGAAGACCTTGAGGTCATCTATTGTCTATAGAAGACCTTGAGGTCATCTTTTTTTTTTTTTTTTTTTTTTTTTATGTGGATTAAGGCCAAATCGGTCTAGACGCAATTTTATTGAAGTGTATAATAATATAATTTACAATTCTCATTTCCCGCGAAGCTTTAAGCTTGTATGCAGGATAATTTTAATAGTAATCTTAATATTAATACATATACATTTTATATCTTTAATTTTCACAGTTCAGCTGTTATGTATAGCACATTTCAATAAAATAATTTTATTATTCTATTTTTATTTTTTCAATTGAGCATTATAAGCTTATTAGATGTTTTTTTAATACTTTTTTCCTTTTTATTTTATTTCTAATATTAAATATTTCTAGGGGTAGTTCACTTCGGGCACTTGGCAGGCTAACGGCGAGAGCTCTTCTACCGTATTCGTTTTTGAAGCTAGGTATCTTGTATCTTCCTTCTGCTTGTCTTCTAGTGTTTAGATTATGGTCGATGGGTTGCAACAGCGAACTATCTTCTGAGAATTCGTTTAAAATTACAGATTTGTAGAGATTTTTAACGTTGAGCACATGTAACTTTTTATGTATACATTGCCGTGAGGTAGTGCATTGAGTATGATCGTTTGTTATGGAGCTAGTAGGGTGTTGGCATATATTAGATTTATTAAAGCTTTTCTGAAGTATTTTTAAAATACTGTTTTGTGCTGTTTGTAATATTGAAATATTCGCCGAATTTCCCCAAGAAGTTATTCCATGCCTCAGGTACGATTCTGCTAATGAAAAATATGCTTGTCGGATGACGTGGTATGGAGCACAATTGCTTAGATGGTAAATGGCATATGATGATTTTCTACGTTTTTTTCTGACGTTGTCAATGTGTGACTTCCATTTAAAGTGAGTGTCCAAAATTACGCCCAGATATTTATATGTGTCAACTACTTCTATCTTCGTTGAGCAAGTATCATCATATTGATCGTTGCTTGTATCATTTTTATGAATACATTCATAGTTGTGAAATATTATTGAAATATCAGTTCCAGGTGTGTTTTTTGTTCGTAAGTGCATCAACTTGGTCTTGCTAGCATTAATTACCAATCCATTATCATGGCACCATCTAGTTAATTTATTCATCTCCGATTGCATCTTTCGCTCTGCTGATCTTATGGATGTATCTGATACTAATATGGCTGTATCATCTGCATACGAAAAGGCGATACTATCGTTTAGTGTTTTAACCATGTCATTGGTGTATATAATAAAAAGAATGGGCCCGAGTTTGGATCCCTGTGGGACTCCGTACTTTGAGCCATATTTTGCACTTGTTGTGTTATCTATTTTTACTTTAAACGTGCGATATTTCATGTAGTCTTCAAACCATTTTAGACAGTGTCCTCTTATTCCGTTTTTTTCTAGTATGCTCAATAGTTTATGATGTGACAGAGTGTCAAATGCCTTGCTGAAGTCAATGAACATTGCTAGACAGTGCCTGTTTTCAGCTAAATTTTTGTTGATTTCATTGGAAAAGTGACCTAGGAGTTTATTGATGCTTTTTCCTTTCTGAAATCCGTACTGACATTTGCTAATGATTTTATATTTTGTTAAAAAGCTATTCAGTCTTCTTGTGACAATTTCTTCTAATACCTTTTCAACAATTGGGAGTATTGATATTGGCCTATAATTTTCGTATGAGGATTTAAGGCCGCTCTTGTAAATTGGTCTTATTATGGACATTTTCAGAATATCGGGAACAGTTGATTCTAAGAAACTTCTATTAATCAAAGCTGTTAACACTGGCGCCATTATATGAAAATTATTTTTGAGATCAATCGGTCTTATTCCATCACAACCAGGGCCTTTTCTAGTATTAAGACTCTTCAAAATGTTTGCAACTTCTGTACTATTTGTATTTTCCAAATACATTGAATTTGATACCCTATGTTCGGGAATTGACAGTGTGGTCTTAGTGCAGTTGTGCACAATGCTTTCGACATTTCTTTTGAATTGTTTGGCGAAGTTTTCCGCTATTATCGCCGTGTTTTGACTGGCAAAATTAATTTTGAGAGTTTCGTCTATACTGGAACTCTTTTTTCCAATTACCTGGTTTATAATTTTCCAAGTGCTGCGCATGTTACCACGGTTTTGGATAAATTTATTGTAATAATAAGCATTCTTAGCAATTATTATCCTTTTATTAAGTTGGTTGTTAAACGTTTTGTAGAGTCTTTCATTAATTGCTGTTTTAGATTTTCTGTATTTCTTGTACAGCTTTTCTCTTAAATAACAACACTTTATTAACTCATCATTCAGCCAAGGATGTCCATTTCTATTTTTTATTTTGCGTTGCGTTCTCTGGATTGATTTTTCGTATGTTTCAGAAAATGACTTGAGGATTCGTTTAAAAAGGTCATTCGATCCGTATGTCTCCATTATAATTCTGTTCCAATCCATTTCTCTCAATAGATTATTAACTTTTTTATGATTAAGTTTGTCTTTTACACATATTTGACAGGATTTGTTGGTTGTTATTCCATCTATTTCTATGCCCCCAAATATTGAATAGTGATCCGATATGGTAGTGGTGATAATGGCAGTTTTAATATTTTTTGGTGCGTGATGTCTTATAAACAAATGATCAATGCAAGTTTTACTACCGGTACGATTATCCTCTCGGGTTATCCCAGTTATCAAACACTCAAGTCCATTTGATGCGCATAGATCTAAATACTTTTTAGCCGACATGTTATTTGCGTTGATGTCAATGTTCATATCACCGACTAATATAATATCTTCCTTTTTGTTTACTTTATTTAAGCAGCAGTCCAGTTCTGTGATAAAGTTTTTGATATTAGAACTGGGTGGGCGGTAACATGGGATTAGTGTTACGGTTTTATTGCCATATACAGGCATGTCACAGAATGTAAAATCGTTCAAGAGTGAAAATGAAAACGGTTTTAGCTTCTCTAAAAAACGGAAAACGCAAAAATTTTGCGTTTTGATATCACTTTCAAAAAGCAGGGTGAAATTGAAATGTTTAGTGATTTTAACGTAAAAAATAAACAGAAGACACATACATTTAACAGAAAATATTGTATTAACCAAATTCTCTTAGAATGAACATGTTTTTGGAATTTATTTTACAAAAAATCTATTATTTTTCTAATCCATGATGAAAACGCAAAAAAATATGCAGAAATGAACGGCAGACTTGTATTGTTGAATTATTGCCATATGTGCTGAAGAAGAAGGTGTAGAAATGTACAACTGACAGACCAAAAAGCAAGAAAGGGGAAAAACAAAAAAAAAAAACAATTAATTGTTTGGTTTGAGACAGAGCGCTTCAGTCAATCGGGCAAGTTCCGTCAATGCATCCTACAATTCCTGGAATTTCATAATTTTCAAAAAAGTACAATTTCGACTTTCTTTTTTCTTCGGAAGACATTATTAATTTGATCCAATGTGGACAAATTTCAGCTTCAATTGCATTAATAACTCTCCACATAATTGTAGAAACTGTACTTCTCCCAAGGCTTAGCTCCACATCTCTACCTATAACTCCTTGAAATGCACCTGTAGCCAAAAACCTAAGCGTTGTTGCAAGCTGGATAATAGCCGGTATATTGGAACGTTTGGGGTGGGGAGAAATTTTTTCCAAAACTAAAACAAAAGCTTCTTTATTTAGCCGATAATAAGTTATAAATCTGTAGAAATAAATTATTATTAAAATAAATTTGAAAATAACTCATTGCTGGTGGATCCTTACTCTGCATTTGAGTGAGATAAAGGATCTGATGCGTTCCTCAATGTCCGGCGACGAATTTTTTCAGTAGACCGCTGATTTATTTCTTCATCCATTACAGCAAGTATTGAAGCCCCTGGCATTTTTAACTTTTGGTGTTTATATTATAAAAAACAATTTAAACTCCTTTTTTAATTGTCAATAATTTGTTTACGACTTTTTTTCATGGAGTTACCATATTTTTATTTCAAAAATGTGAAATGATTTTTTTTCCGGATTAGTCAAAACGTACGAGTGCTGAAGAAGCAAAAGCAAATCGTAACGATTTGGAAAAGGTGAAATAAATCGATTTCGTAAAACTTCTGTGACATGCCTGATAGTTTCATTTGTATTTTGATTGATTCCACGTATATTGTTTTAGTTTCGATAGTTTGAAACGAAAGTTGGTCTGCTATATAAACTGCAATACCTCCACCTCGGTTTTCTCGATTTAGGAAGACTGCATTGTAGCCATTTATTTCATAAAATAGAGTTTCATCGTTATTTATATTAGTTTCGGTTAAGATTATTATTTTAATTTTGTTTAAAATATCTTTTGTTCTTGTTAAAAATTCGCTAAAATTCTTGCGAAGAGATCGAATATTCATACTAATTAAAGATATTGTTTTGGTATTTATGTGTTCATCCAGTTCATTAAATGAGTCCAATACTGTATTTAAAGAATTCATTTTTTATTTTGTAGTATTTGTAAAAATTGATTTTTGTTAAATCGAAGGTTCCTTTTTTCATAAAAAAATTTGGAAAAAAATAGGCTGTGTTAATTTTTTTATTAATTTGTGACAATAGTCTATTTTTTAATTTGAAATATTTTTTTGTTTATTGATCTCTTGTAATCTTTTCAATATCAGAATGATTATATATTTTTATTTGTGCACAATTATCATTTCTCCTCGCATATATGTGACCATCTTTCACCCAGACATATCTCCAACCGTTCTCCTTTGCTTTGGTTTTAGCCATCCATAAGATGCGCCTATTATCTGCCGTGAGTTCATCATTTATATAGATGAATCGGTTTGTTGGGTTACTGTTATCATCAGCAAGTACATTCTCGTCCACTCGATGCCTTTTCATTTTGCTCATCATCTCTTTTTTCTTACTTAGAGAAGAGAATTCAACTATTATTTTATTTTTTGCTTTTATGCTGTAAGCATTTTCAATATGAGCATCGGTTACTTCGATACCAACAGAGGCTGCAACTTTTTTTAACACCGTCTCTGCTCCCATTGCAACTGCATTAGCATTAGTTATTTCTACATTTTTCTCCAATGCCTTTTGTTCAAGTCTTCTTATCTTGTTGTCCATTTCTCTAATTTGTTTAGTTTTCTCTAGGTCTTTGTTTTGAAGTTCAACAACCTGAGAAGAGATGTTTGAGAGTGTATCATTGATTTTGTTCAAACTCTCTGCCATGTAATTATTTGATGCAGTCAATGCGTTCATGTTGTTGATCATTTCTTTCATGGCCGTTTTTAGTTCCCCCATGTCAGCTCTCAGTTCGGCGTACTCACCATTGTTGTTGTTGCATTTCGGCACAACGGTGGTTGAGATGTTGTTGTTGGTGACACTGGTTGCTGGCCCGTCTTTGAAACGTTTGCTTTTGTCGTTGAGTACATTATCGGCATCTTCGCATTCATATTCTCTCTGTTTTTTCTGTTGATGAGATCTGACGTGTGGTTGTTGTGATGCTTCTTCAGTACCAAGAGATTGTTGTCTGTTTGTTGTTTGTGTATCATCCGGATACACGAACGTCTGATAGATGTTGTTGGGGGATTTTTGTCGAGGTTTGCAAATCTCGCATTTCCACTCCAATTTTCTTGCTGTGCTCATAGTTTTATAACTGGCCTCAGAGAGCACAGTACAAGGTGAGAAATGATATTTCCTATCGCAACAGCGACACCACACGTAGTTGTTTGTGTTTATTGCTGTCTTGCATTTGCTGCAGAAAATAGTTGGCACTTGTAAAAGTTCCATGTTTATGTTGGAAAATGGAAATATATTGTTTTTTAGAGAACTGAGAAAATAAAATCGACGATGCGCGCGAATTTAAAACACGTCCGCTTACTTGAGAAGTCGCAGCTGAACTCGTCCGCTTACTTGAGAAGTCGCAGCTGTCTATAGAAGACCTTGAGGTCATCTATTGTCTATAGAAAACCTTAAGTCATATATTGTGTATAGAAGTCCTTGAGGTCATCATTGTATATAGAAGACCTTGAGGTCATCTATTGTCTATAAAAGACCTTGAGGTCATCTATTGTCTATAAAAGACCTTGAGGTCATCTATTGTCTATAGAAGACCTTGAGGTCATCTATTGTCTATAGAAGACCTTGAGGTCATCTATTGTCTATAGAAGACCTTGAGGTCATCTATTGTCTATAGAAGACCTTGAGGTCATCTATTGTCTATAGAAGACCTTGAGGTCATCTATTGTCTATAGAAGACCTTGAGGTCATCTATTGTCTATAGAAAACCTTAAGTCATATATTGTGTATAGAAGTCCTTGAGGTCATCATTGTATATAGAAGACCTTGAGGTCATCTATTGTCTATAAAAGACCTTGAGGTCATCTATTGTCTATAGAAGACCTTGAGGTCATCTATTGTCTATAGAAGACCTTGAGGTCTTCTATTATCTTTAGAAGACCTTGAGGTCTTCTATTGTATTCAGAAGACCTCAAGGTCTTGTATAGACAATGGAATAAAAAAATAGACCTCAAGGTCTTCTAAAGACAATAGAAGTCATCTATTGTGTATAGACCTTGAGGTCTTTTTCTATTGTCTATAGAAGACATTGAGGTCTTCTTCTATTGTCTATTATTGAGGTCTTTTATTTACTATTGAAGACCTTGAAGTCTTCTGTTGACTATAGTAAAGCTTGAGATCTTATTGTTTACGTCTTCTCTTTCGTATAGAAGACTTTGATACCACTTATATCCTCTAGAAGACTTTTAGGTCTTTTATTTGATATTGAAGCCCTTGATATATTTTATTTTCTATATATGAGCGTGCAATTCTCTCTTTTTTATAAAAGAGCATATTTTTGTTGGTAGAAAGTATGTTATTTCTTTTTAAAGAGGAGGTGCTCTTTACGTTTAATGATCTCCTATTTCCTTATAAACTATTCATATTATTTTTTCAATAACATCTGAAAATGTATATGCGTGTTTATAGATTCCATACATTTTCCATTTGCACTGCAACTGCAACACTTTGACATACATTTCCTCAATTTAAGTATTTAATGTCTGAAATATTGTTGTCGTTTCGGTAACGGAAACGGAAAAAGGATAAGGAGAACAACTTGTATGCCCAACAGTCAAATTAGGCGGTCTGGCTGGGTATTGTGTGAGTGCCCGCTGCTTCTTCTGTCACTACTATGGCATTTTATTAATGTTGAAAACTCAACGACCATTGCTGCACTTGTCGTAACCGTCGTCGTCATATCCGCATACACTTGTGTGCTTAATGTCAACAATTTGTTGTTGGCTTTTTTTAATATCTGCATTCTTGACAAATGTGTCACCCTTCTTGACTGGCTGAGTTTTTATGACACTTGCAGGCTTTTTTCGAGTTTATTTCCAAACTGAAGTTAAAAATCGATGTTCATATTTAAGTTGTCATAAAAACGGAAGTTTTCGAAAGATGAATTTTGTTTTGTAAATCATTTAAAAATGAAACAGGACTATTTGTTGTTATTTGCGGTGAGTAAGAAACTTTTTTGACTTGCCAGGAAACATTTTGTTGAAATTCCTTTCGTCGGTTTCCAGCTTTACTTGATAGCAAGAATTTTGTCTCAAAGTTCTAATTTCAATTAGAAACAGCAACAAAACAACAAATACTTGCAACATATTTTGTACAAACTTTATTTGACAAAAATGCTTCTCTCTCGTTTTTTCATAAAAGCCCAGATTACGACAAAATTTTGTATGGCACTTTTGTGTTTTGGACATGTGGGTGGCAGTGAGAAATGAACTAACTTTACTTAGTTTACCATTCAGAAGTTGAAAAGAATAATTTTTAATACCCGAAAACCTATCGGCAGGTTTTAAAGCGTATGTATTTTTTCTTTATAGAAAAATTAGGATATGCGAAGTTTGAAGATAATCGGAGGAATTTCTTCGCATATTTTTAACGTTATACTAATAAAGACCACTTGAGGTGCAATACACAAGGGACAAGAAGGTCTGACAAAAGTAGTGAAATTTTCGAGGTTTCATCTAAATTGGATACTCCTCTTGCTTTCCATTACATATAATTTTCTTGTTAAATCTGGCCCTTCATTTGTATGTAATTTTAATATAAATATGTAATTTTAATATAAATTTAATTGAGTTTCGTCGAAATCGGACATTTCCTTCTTATGTACATGTTATCCAGACAAACGAATATATAGGCAACCAGACGCATATCGCAAGATGGAGAGTTTTTCCGATGGGACACGTTTTGGAGGACTTTTTTTTTAAATCCAGTTTTATGATAAATTAGATATGTTTTTCAAACGAAGTGTTTGTAATTTGCTAGTAGTGTTGTTAGAAAACAATTCAAAACTTTACCAACTATACATTAATGCCACAAATTGATGTAGCTGACAATGTCTATGGGCAAGGGAAGTGCATCCAAGGGAAATTCATCCAAAGTATTTTTATACCCTACACCACAAAGTGGTCAGGGTATTATGTTTTTGTGCATTTGTTTGTAACAGGCAAAAGGGTCTATAGTTCCTTTTGATGATCTGCATAGAATCACATTCTGAGTCGATTTATGCATGCACTCTGCAACAACAATATTTGGGGAAATATATCAAATACAGCCCAGAAATACATTTACTAAATTTTATCGAGATCGGTTCAGATTTGGATATAGCTCCCATATATAACTTCGTCCGATTTACCTTTTATTGTGCACCAAACGTCTAATATTTGTCTAAATGGGACGGAATTTGGCACTTACGGCCGAATTGAGTCTAGAAGCTAGTATGTCAAATTTGGTGAAGATCGGTTCAGATATAGCTATAGCTTCCATATATATTATTCATCCGATTTGTTATATTTCTTACCCACAACTGTAATATGCACTCCGTAACAACGATATTCAGGGAAATATATCAAATACAGCTCAGAAATACATGTGCTAAATTTTATCGAGATCGGTTCAGATTTGGATATAGCTGCCATATATATCTTTATCCGATTTCAAATTACTGACTGCAAACCATTAGCAAAAATATTTTCTACATATGGAGTATACATGGAGTTTTTCAAACTTTTTAAAAATTTCATGTTTAATAAAAACTGTGTACTTTTGAAAATACTAG